GCTATCAACGCCAATATCCTATTTTTATTTAAGCATTGCACTCAATGCTGAAGACAAGCACGTCATTGACAACGATGATGTTGCTGAAGTGATGAAACAGCCATTAGGAATGTATAAACATTGGGATTGCAAAGGGGTAAAGTGTGAATTTTGGATATGCAGTTACGAGATGCGGTAACCAAAGTTGGTGAAGCCGTGTGCCGCGGCAGAAAGAGAGGGGTTAATGGGCATTGCTTGGTAGGGGAAGGGGCTCGAGCCCCACTAACTTTCAAGTTTTTCTATATATAAATAAGCAAGCTTAATAGTTTCGAGTAGATCCTCTACACTACTTTCACTCTTTCTCTCATTGAGTACTCTTTACCAAATGTGCATTCATGAGTAAGGGATGAAGTTATTTAGTTCGACGAGCCCGGAAAAACCACAGGTAGATACGATGATGAAAGGCAAGCTGATGCTGGCAGAAAATATGCTACGTAAAGAGTCACGCTTCTATCGGTCGAAGTGCGCGCCACGTGGAGGAGATGTTGGGAGTTGACAAAAAGGACTGGAGAAGAATTACTCGAAAGAAGAAAATAAAAGCGAAGAGCTGAAGATGCTGACCGACTGGAATAATGCCCGAATTCTACCAGAAAGTGCGGTCACTTGCCAAAAGCTTTAAGCGGATAATTGTTTTAAGTCCAATAATGACAAAGGGGTTATTGATGTCCAAAAAGGGCTTATATGACTGTACCGAGTCGAATTTCTGCCCATTTTTCCTGAAAGCGGTGTTAAGTCAATAATTTTTTAAATTATCCTTCAGGTTTTTTGAGAGGTTTTTCATACGGATCCAAACTAAAGACACCACCATGGGAGATATGATTTTGTGTGAACATTAGGCTCGGTTTCGAAAAAAAAACTCGTTATGCTACTTTTCTAAGCGTGCACATTGGAAGATAGTTTAAATTTTCCAGACATTTTTGCATTCAGTAGAGTTATTTTTCACAGAAAAGAGCTCGAATAGACCACTACGGAAAAAAGTTGAACGTAAATACTAAAAAATGAAGTATTGGGGCGTAGTTACCCATCGACGTAAAATCGGAGACCGTAACAGCTGACACGACCTAATTAGATTATCGTGTAAACGAAAACTCACCACCACATGACGACGCAGTTGTCGTTGCATCTCTCTCTCGTCAGCAATTTGATATGTTGATACGGATGGCAAGTATGGAAGAGCGGCTCCGTCGGTGGCTAACTGGCGCATAAAAGGTAACTTCAACACCGAACGTAAATTCTTCATGGTTCAATGATCGCATCTAAACCAAATGAGACCACCTTGAGGTACCACCTTTCCGATAAAAAAAAACTATCGATGTCGGTTTGCGTGATCCTAAGTTATGTAGGTAACATACATAAAAAAATACGACGAATTGATAACCCCTCCTTTTTTGGAGTCGGTAAAAATACCGAAAATATTAGAACACTTGTAAATTTATTTAAAAACCCTAAACTTATATAAATGAAATAAAATTAGTAAACTTAGTTTATTTTTTTTCGCCATTTAATTGAAAATTATATTAAATTTGTTGAGCTCAAGGCCGTGGTGAAATAAAACCATGCGCAGTCGAATGGTCCCGATGGTGACTTCAGACTGAAGTTGAAATATTGACGAAATAAACGCAAAAAAAAGACTGAGTGTTTTATTTAAACATGACCTTGAGGGACATTTGTACAGAAAAATTTTCTTTCTGGTTTAAATTTAAGCATAAAGTACTAAACAATTCTACATTGTGATGTGAGTTATTACAAAATACAAAAAAAAAGTAGGGGTTCAATTCTCTCAAGTTTTATCTAAGGATAGTGCCTTTTAGTAGCAGAAAATGCCTAGCACCGTCATCCGGGAAAATTATTAAAAATCAACGCGATTTCCTAGCGTCTTGAAATTTTAACTTTTACGTACCTAAATTTAAAGGGTTATATAACTGCATACCTAGAATTTTTCTAAACGTTCTGAACAAAAAGTTTAAAATATTTGGGTGTAATAGTTTAAGTTTGTTGAATTTTTATAATTTTTGTACGAAGTGTGAAATGTGGATTTACAGCACTTCCAACACAACCTACATTAAAATCACTCAAAAAATTTACTTAGAATTAGATTTCAAAACGTAAAAAAGGTAATAACAATGCATATAAAGCTTTAACTTGTTGTATTTTGTTCAAGATTTTTACAATTGTCTTATCCTTCGTTTGTTAGTTTATAGAGAAATTAATTTTGTACTGAGGCTCAGTTTTCCATGGATCCTCCCAATTAGTAAACTTAAAAAACTTAGCGTAACTCGCTTGACATAAAAAAATTATATTGAGGAAGTTCTCATAACTTGTCTGGATGATAGATATCAACAAAGAAGACTTCACGTTCCAATAGTCTAATTATTTAGGGCATAAGCACGGGTATTCTTGAATTTAAAAATTCCTACAGGGTATATTTGGATTTTACTGCACGCCCACGAATAAGTGTTCACATTGGCTATATGCAGGCGCGTTGACACAATTGCTGAAATTCTATTCAACTGTCAGCTTTGAAACATTTGTCACGTGCTACTTTGCACAAGCAATTAGTTTCTTTGACTATGATTGCTTTAAGGGTTTTATGTATTTTTGATTTTTTTTTCCTAAATTCCCATTGGTTTTCAAACGGGATTTAGACGCAAGGTCAGAGACCCCAAACTCAATTAGGCACATATGTACGTATACATATGTACTTATATGTCTATGCTTACGTTGTATTTTACTTATGTTAATCTGAGTTTCCTTATGAGTGGGTGAAGTTCAATGTGCTCTCACTATGTGCGTTCTAAATGCACTTGATACTAATTGCACGTAAGTGACGTTCTTGGGGGTGGTGATTGATATTTAATTGGTAAAAGTACCGTAATACGCAGAAAAGAATTATCAAGAACCAACGCGATTTTTTACCAACTTAAAACTGTGTTCACATCAGGCGATTTTCCAGGCAATTTTAGAGGCGATTAGTTGAATCAAAAGGTGGCTAGCCCCCAACTTCATTGAAAGCGATTACTTGGAAGGCCAACTACATTTTATTTAGTTTTTTCAAAACCATTTTTTTTAAGCGCTGTTCATAAGTTGAGCCTTATAATTGTTCGTAGTTTAATTTCTGTATATCCGATGAAAAATATTTACAGTGCGTACACGGTAACCGCAACCCTCAGTACCTGAAATTTCTTGATTAAAGCAAGTCTCTAAATCAAAACATTGTAACCTTTAAAAATGCAACTTCAAAAAAATTTAACCTCAATACCTAAAACATTATTTGTTTGTGCATGCTACACACATAATTTGAATTTTTTACCTTTTTTTGACTTATACGATGTTTCCACAATTCGTAATTCGCTCTCTAAGTAATTCGCTAAGTAATTCGTGAATTACCCTGTTTCCATGACACGCATTAGTAATTCGTTTGGCAGCTTTAGTTCTTGTTCTTGTTCTGCGCTATTTATTATTATTTTTGTGTACTGCAAATATCGAAGATGGAGCTAAAATTTAAGTTATCATCAACATTTTTAATTTATATAGAGAATATTTTATTAATATTATTCTATAACTAGAAAAAGTGCCAACAATTGGGACCAGGCCGGTGAAAACTTCGATATAATTCCGAGAAATATTAGAGAAGGCAGCGATTCGTTCGTCATTCGCATGGTAATTCGATCTGAATTACCTACAAATAAGGTGATTCGTAATTCGGAAGGTAATTGGCAAGGCAAATGACGAATGGGAGAGCGAATTACGAATAAGAGAGCGAATTACGAATCGTGGAAATGCCGTATTAAGCATGTACTATATACATAGGAAAAAATTTGGAAGTTAGGGAGGAGCCAAAATTATCGAGCTAGCATTTCCTGGTACTATTTCTGAATATATATATATAGCCCTACCTGGCTACGCCCATGACTGCATACTCAAAAATCTGATTAAAATGTCGAAAATTTAGATCAAACTTTGCAGAATTTTTAAAATTTTTACACAAAGTTTGAAATTTATATGGTTGTTAGATAATGGGCCGTATGAATAAAAACTAAGCAATTGCTTTTTCTTTAAATGTTATACTTTTTACTCGATTTATTTAAATAAATTCAAAAAAAAAGCTCTGAAATTTTAAGAAAAAGCAATTGCTTAGTTTTTATTCCTACGGCACAATGTGCTGCACTTTTATAATAAATAAATAAACATTAAATAAAGACAAGTAATTTTTAAACAAAAACAAAACCGACTTCAATTCTCGTATAAAAATTTAAGATTATCGTTAATTTCTTCGTGATCCAATGATCGGATTAGTATGGGACCTTAAAAAAAAACATTTAAAAAAATATTCCGATGAATTGATAACCTTCTTCGTTTTGTGAAGTCGGTTAAAAATAAAGCGTTTCTATTATTTTGGCCATGAGTGTTTGTATAAGGAAACCTAATCACGATTTGATTGTTTGAAGTAAGGGCTAGTTGAGAGGAGACTCCGGCATGTTTAGCCTCGCCAATGAAGTTAGTGCTCCAATTACAGCTGCAAAACTATAGATGGCGCTATCGATAGTATGGACGATTTTAATTTGTCACCATTATCGATGAATGATGGTTACTAACGCGATACTATCAGAAATCTTGCATCAACGTCTTTTCGTCTCTACTTAAAGATACTCTTCATAAAAAAAAACAGTTCTTTAGCACGCAATGTGCCGTTTTGTTGCGTTCAAATTCAGAACCTAGTCAAAAATGGTATTTTTTAAGACCCTTGACAGGAATGATCACGAGGAGGTACCAAATTGGTTTGCTTTCTAACAATATTTTCCTCCACCACATGGCCCATGATAAAAACACCTTTTCGATTATGTTAAACATTTTTTTATATTTATATGGCTAGAGTGGATGATCAAAGTCGATGTGTTTAAACAAATCAAAGTATTTGCTTTGAAACATTCCCGGAAATGCAGAAATACATTACACTTAATATAAATTTTACTTTGCACTATCGAATTATTTATTTCAAGTTTCTTAGTTACATTACGCTTTTTCTTTTTGTTGCATTGGGCAATAACCTTTGGTGTTGAGACAATCGCATTCTACCGGAGGTAATGCCTTGGGAAGAGGTTTGTCACATTCCGAAAAGCTCGGATATGGTGTACAGACTTTCAAACAATCTTGCGGCCCAGGGAAGTCGTGGCATTTGAAGTCGCATTTTTTCGTACGACAACCAGGCCAAATAATTTTCCAACATTTCGGATTCAAATTGTTGGGACATTGCCTTGCAATATCACGCACTTGTGATTGAGAAATATCCTTATGGCCCAACTTCCGCCGCTTCGGCAGTGGTATATCGTCCTGCTCATAGCAACATGTGGGGTGTTTTTCTATTCGAAAACCGCTGAATTCACACCAGGTTTGTTGATATGGTTTATTCTTCTCGGACGGCGCATAATACAAATCATCAAATCGTGGATGCATTTCGACACATGGATTATTACAGCACTCGGGGTTTTCAAGGTTCGATGGTATGATTTTTTCTTTACAAGGCCTTGTTTTCCTCTTTGCCGCCAAAGCTTCCTCACTGCAAATGGCAATTTTTTGTAGTTTGCATTTGCGTTTTAGTTTAGGTTTGCTGGGCGCTTTCTTTGCTTTCGTCGGTAGTATACAGCCGCCCACGGTGCTTGATAACCGTAACGGCTGGGCAAACGACGTCGCTAATTTTAAGCCGGGTTTCCTGGTACACAGCAAGCTTTTGCGAAATATATTTTGCATAGCCATTGCAAACAATGATTTTTTTAAACAAAATTTTAATTTAGAGTAAAGCCAAAGGGAGTATATTGATTAAGACAATAAAAGACTAAAATATTAGCATTTTAAGATTAATAAACAATTTTTAAAAAGTAATTTTTATGACTCAGAAAGCTCAGTTCTTGAATTTCAAACACTTTCAAAATATTGAAGTGGAAGAGAATAAAGTGGAAATTTTTCTTTTAAATCGAAGAAATTAATAAAAAATAAGTAAAATCTAAATCAAGGAAAAGAATCAAATTGAATTATTGAAAGGCATTTTTTCATCCGATTACGTTAGCTTCTAGTTGGGCATGAAATATTTTACATTAATTTAGTGAACATGACCAGTTACAAACATAGAAATAATAACCACAAAAAGTGGTGTTGGTGGCAAACTTGGTTTTGCCACAGTTCAATTTATTGTACGAGTACAGATGCACATTTGCACATACATACATACCGTCGTTTAAAGTACAAAACCGCGTATCAACAAAATGGAAAACCGCGTATAAATATAGTGCAAAACCGCGTATGTGAGGTTGCATAAATTACTTTCTAGAGAGTAAAAATACTCATATTTCAAAATGGTTATCTTTATTTTTTATAAAGCAATCGCATTTCTGGCTAGTATATTTCAGGACGAATGGATAAGGTTTGAGCCAAGAGCCCAAAGAATTGTACATTATTAGAACATTGAACGAGTGCTTAACCTACACAGTGTTTTAATGTAGTAGTCAAAAGGAAAAAGGGGCATAATGGCTGCATTTCGTTATTCATTCTGAACGTTTGGAATAAACTTTTTTGTTTACTTATTCTTTAGAACGTTCCTGATGATATGTTAACATATTTTTCAAACGCATTCTGTTTATTCTGGCTGTGAAATGGGATTATCTGGAATGTATAAAGAAACGCAGCCAATATTTCAAAAAAAATTTTGCTGCCTTTTCACCAGTGATCGGTCTTACAAAAAAATAGTGTGGTAGAATCTGGAAAAAAATGTGGTAGATTTCAAAAAAATTTGGTACCTAGATCTCAGGTTTTGTATCAAACTTTGTACAAAAATTAAAAAGTTCTGCAAGTTTTCACCTAAATTGTAAACATTTTAATTAGAATCTAAAAAAAATTAATTTTAGTATAATAAAGTGCAAGAAAGAAAAATTGCGTTGAGTTTTGGCAATTTTTTTCCTTGACAGTGTAAAGCAGTTCCATAGCAGTTCCTTCCATATCAAGATATTTTCGAACATATTTTGAAAGATTTCTGCAACCTTGCGGAGTGCTGCAAGCTTTCCTTTTTATCACATCACGATGTAGCGAACAAATGTGGAACGTTCCAGAAACCGCTTCTTGGGATTTGCCGATTTTGACAATTCTCAAGTAAAATTAAACAATGCTTTGAAACTTTAGATGTACTGAAATTTGCTAATACTTTCACAAAAATCGCTATGTTTAAATCTGATTAAAAAGTTGAAAATTTTGATGAAAATTTACTGAATTTTCGCGATTTTTGCACAAAGTCTAGGAATTATATTTTTATGTTTTTTGTTGTTGAATGAACCATATTTTTATACAAAATTGGCGGAAAAATATTAGAATAAAAATTGTTGCATATATTGTGAAAGATTTGCAGTGCCAATACTTTGTTCCGGCAGTGTATATTTAAAAGCAAAAAAGCTTTTGACTGCCGTGGTCGAGTAAGTAGAGATTTCGGCTATAAATTCTGTGTGTCCCAGATTCGAATGCCGGCATATTCAGAATTTAAATGATAGAAACAAATTTTTTAATTTTCATATGAAATTTCAATTTGTAAACGCTTGTCAATAGCATTTTCAATCTTGATAATTTATCAAGAAAAAGAGCTTTAATATATTTCTGTGCTAGAATTCCAATTCTTGATAAATAATAAAAAATTGACAAATTATAAAAAATTTTGATTTATCAAGTTCACAGAATCGGGCTGTTAGAACCCTTCCAACAATATTAGAGGGGACTCTCTGCCCATGTACACATTCGCATTCGCAAAACATTCGTATCATTGTATGCGAATGCGAATGTCGAATGCGAATGTGTAAAATGATACGAATCATTCGCATAACGAATGCGAATGCAAATATTCACGCCATCCCTGACGTTAAGAGTGGCAGCATGCAGATACTGAGCCAGTGTATCTATCTTGCATAATCACAATTTTAACCGATCTCAAATATCATTTGCAATTGTGTTAAGTGAGATAATGTTGTAAGTTTGAGTCAGTCGAAGTCAGCCAGTTGCAACGCGGTTGAGCTTAGTGTTATGTTAATGGAAATGTGTAGTTATGAATTATTGCTTACGCAAAATTTTCATTTATTTATGTGTAAATAATTACATATCGAGTGCTGAGTGGAAGATCGACCTATCTCGGTAGCCAGTTCGAAAACGCCCTATCTCAAAAAACTTTTCAAGAACGCCCTATTTCAGAATTTGTTTCAAAAACGCCCTATCTCAGCTGCCGATTCAAAAACGCCCTATGTCAGCACATTTTCAATACATTTTGAAGAAAGATAGGGCGTTTTTGAACCGAATTCTGAGATAGCGTGTTTTTCAATAAAACTCTGAAATAGGGCGTTCTTGAAAAGTATTTTGAGATAGGGCGTTTTCGAACTGGCTGTCGCGATAGGTCGATCTTCCACTCAGCAGTCGATATACAATTATCGTTTCACAAAACTTTTTAAGATTGATCGGGTGAAATTTCCCAAGCCAAAATGTTGAACAAATTAAACAAAGATAGACTCAACGGTTTCGAATTTCGTTTAAACTCAATTGCCAATTGCCAACACTATTGACCAAGTTTATTTGAAACTCCAGGTGGCAGATTATTTGCCTCTCTCTACCAATCATACCCTGCCTTTTTTTTGTTTTGTATAGCTAAAAGCAACAACATTTGGAGCATTGCTGCAATAAAATAACCAACAATATTTTCTGCAAACTTTACCTTAAATTAACGTATTTATTTTAATTATGGAGTTCGTACTTCGTGTTACGTCAAATGAGTTGGTATAGCAACAATTACTGAAGCCTGTTGGTCCATCGGTGGAGCACACAGTGGGTCCAATGCAAGTGATACAAACACCCGCTAACCAAATAACTTATAAACCAATATATGTACATAAAACGTATGCACATACATATGTACATGCATACTTCGTACATTTGTGCGGCTGAATGTTCCCCAATTTCTGGTCAATATGAGTGTGGTGCCATAACTTGCCACAAGCGGCTGCGCTAAATGACTGGACTACGCGTGCGCTGCTGTTCAACAGTGTCTATGCATTTGTTTGTTTGCTTTCTTTCTTTGCATTACATTTCCAGCTTTAATTGCTCCACTTTGCTGACGGCACGACGGTGTGCAGATACCCACCTACAGTATCGGTCATATCATTAGCGACTTCATTTTAAATTGATATTGGGCACACACGAACCCACACACAGTGCCTTGCTAAGAGAGCCGTATTTGTCAAGAGGGAGCGAGAAAGTTGAGCAAACCTTTTATTATTGAATCATGATATAGACCCAAGATTTAAACGTTGTAGAAAACTACAAAAAAGTTCAAAAAATATTCATCCAACTATTAGAATTTTTCGAGTACATAATTTTTAGCCACCTGAAACTTGTACATTATTGCACTAAAATTGAATGGATTTTAAAACTGTTTGCTCAAAAAAATTCTAACAGTTCTGAGAAAAAATTTTGCAATTGGTTGGTTGATTTTTTTTTTAGTTTTTTAGAAAGTTTTAAGCTTGGGTTTATATGAGTTTTGTTAGAGAATGAACTGCAATTTAACTGAAAATTCTTAAAATTAAATAAATAAACATAGGTGCTAAACAATATCTCTTTGAAATGCGGGTACTATTGATGTGACTGCCACTGTATGTGCAGATGTATACATATGGAAACTGATAGTTTACATTCCTATACATACATTCATACTTTGATAAGTAGCCGCTGCAAAAATATGTACTATAAATAAGTTTGTAGCTTACTGGGATTAATGTTGCAATGGCGTTGCCTCGCACTCAACTCTTGCAGCGCTCCAATAACTGCGCCACAAAAACAAAAACAAAAACCACAGAAATAAAAGTATAAAGTGTGCTTCTTTAACGTTATCGACTTATTTACCAACTTAACAAATGCATAACTGATATTTTTAATTAATATCAAGTGAGCGGCAAGAGAAACCGTCAGATTGCTTGGCTTCGAGCTTTGAATAAGCTTCCTGTTTCAGCGCTTTACCGGATATATTTATTGGCAATTTTGTATGAATAGAATGAGTATTTTTAAATATGTCGATATATGTATTAGATATACTATATTAATTTATATGAGGAGCATACTTGTGTTCCATTAAAATTTCTCCACAATTCTGACGAATATATTTACATACATAAGCATGTATAAGCACGTGCCCACATCCACTTTTGTGAATTTCTACCAGTCACAAAACTTTTATGATACAAAATTTTATTAGCTTCATTAAAGTTCGCCATAAACGATAGCGCCAAAAAAGAAACCTGTTGCTGGTCACTCTATTTTGCCGCAAACTATTGCGTTGAGTGTCGGCTAGCTGTTGCATGCAACTGCGTTGAATGACGTAGGAGATTCTGCAGTCGCCGCTGTTGCCAAAACTCCTTATTCTTTGTTTTTTGTCTAGCCATATTTGCGCTGAATTGGGTCGACTCTGTTGTAACGACGTTGCAACAGCTTTCCCACACAAGCGTACTTAGGAATTAACGACTATGCAGCTAGTTGGGGTTATGGAGGCATAAACAACGGCAATATCCTGTTTAAGGCAATTTATTGCTAGACAAGATATTGATAGCAGAGGGCGATGTAGCAGAGATATTGGAATTCGCTAATCATTAGTGGCTGGACATAATTATAGAACATTTTTAGTGAGTTGGAAATAACATTTTTTAAACAATTTATTAATAGAATAAAATAAGGTGGAACACACA